GGCAGTGGCAGAACAATGTCGTTCAGGTCTACACTTCAGAAATGTAGGGTTCAATTCGTGATGTGCCGTGAAATTTTCTTATTAACTGCCACCTTACTTGAGCAAGAAACTTACTCCGGTGTGGTTCGGTGCAACAAGCCGCGTTCCGGTATCATACGATGGCCCCACCATCCAAATAAAACAGAAACGACAGGTTGTTCAGAAAACCCGTGAACCAGATATTTGAGTTAGAGGATAAGGAAAAATTATGAAACTGAAGGTATAGTTTAGAATGATATATAACCGTGATTTTTCTTTAATCTCAAATTCATCTAATTTAATTTGACGACAAATCTGTAAACCTCACTCATTATGATATGCAGAATGAACAGCATTACGATTATCACATAATTACGTCGCTCACTGGTTCCGGCAAAAGCCTGTTCCAACCCATTAGACCTGTGAAGGTCCAGACACAGCTGTGGTGCGAGAATATTCTTTTGGCTAACAAGCATGTCGTAAGCTGAACAACTATACCGAGAAGGCGGAGGAGTGTGTTTTACCGAAGTCCTGGTCGGACGGAAACAGCTGGCAAAGTAGGTTTTAAGAATCGGCCAGCATCCAAGTACAGATATTCCTGACTTTGAGAAGGTTCGACTAACGATATTTCGACTTTACGATGGAGCAACAGTCAAGAGCCCCCACTCTCTGTAACAACAGTAAACATAAATATCTCATAGAGTGTTTAGCAACGTATAATACGGTGTCGATATGACAATAATTGATTTGCAAAATTTATAATGAAAAGAAAAAACAAATTGCACAGTCAAAACTTTATATCTTCTTGAAGAAGCAAGCACTTGTTCCTGAATCATTAACCAGTGTCGACGAGTAAATGTCTTCTACGAGCTATGCTAGCGAACGCGCATCATTGGAAGAAAAATAAATTGATTATCCTATCGCTATAGCTTTCTCCCCAGCATCAGTAATTATTCGTTTAATTACTTATTAAATAGCAACAGTTATTTATTTACTTATTTATTTATCATAGGATATTTGTATTCAACTTAGGACTTTTTCAACTTACGATGAGTTCGTCGGAGCGTAACCCTATCGTAAGTCGAGGAGCGTCTGTATGAATACGGAAATAAAATTTTGAACGCGTGGCGATCAGCCTATGAACTAACCTTTAAATCGCGATGGATAATGCCACAATCGTGCACGTATTTGACGGCCGAAACGATCTGCGAAAACCACCGAATCATCAGCAACTCGTCCCGGTCTTCAACGTGAGCATTCAGCCAATCTTTGAGCGTGTCCTTTTTGCACAACTGCATTTGGATAAACAAAAATGCTTTGCTCATTGGAGTCTGCAGCTCCTTATTTTGCTGCTTTTCAGGAGATGCCTTAAGTCGCTTCCTGGACGATTTGCTGTTTTTGGGCAAACTGGAAACATCCACTAAATTTCGGTCATTCAGCGTCGTGTCCACATCCGTTGAGGGCGCGTGCTCGGTGGAGTTTCGAAACACGATCTCGCAAGAGCTGGAATTATGCGATGTAGCCGCGGTCCGTCTCCTGCTCAACGACAATGGCAAACGATCAACGGTGGTTGAACAGCCGTCGAAACTAAAGATCGCTTGGTCATGGATGGTTTCGCTGGAATGGCTATTGGGAATGCTATCGAGAGTCTTTGGCAGGCCGGACGACGCGAACGAACGCAAATAGCCGTTTTTGTGCACCTGTTCAAGCACAAAGTGGTCGACGCGAGACCGCGTAGACAGGGTACCCGTACCCTTGTTTGATGACTCCGGCGTGCATTCAGAACAAGTGGCCGTCTGCGTTGCATCTGTGAAGCTAAACATAGGAAAACATGTTAATAATAGGAACATAAGAAGAAAACCAAACGCAAACTTTGGCTAAATAAACCAAAATATGCTCATTAGAGCTTCGACACATTTGCGCTTATGGAAAGCTCAGCCAGCTTTACAGATACAACTCTCAGACACTGACACCGCATGATGCTTCGAGTGCGATAACGCATCTCACGGTCAACTGTGAGAAAAGAGTTAAAAGGCCCATTCTCTCCAAAAAGTTACATGCTAGGCGGCCAACGGACAAACCTCTGACGATATGATCACGGTGAATACTTATTTCTCGGTTTATGAACGTACTCTGTTCCGTGAAAATTGTTTGTAAGGTGAAACTTCTAACAGCGGTAATTAATTTCAAGTGACTGGCAATGGGTGAAGAAAATCTGCTGGGGGACGTCGAAAGATGCAAAAGACGCTCATATTTCGGACCAGCAGCTGTCTGAATCGCGACAAAGGTAGGACACGATGGCACTCGTTAACCTATGCCAGCTGTTGAATCCCGTAAAGTTTACGTTGCAATCGCTACAAATGAAGACCTTACCTAAATTTTCACTACTGCCTCCGAACCTGATGTCTCGTATTAATAACATTCGTAGGGGGAAGGAATGTCCCTCTTCGCGAACTTAAGTCTTAAAATATAAATACAAAAAATTCAGACTGAATCCAGACCAATTGTTTTTTTTCCAACATGTCACCATTTCACCCTATCAAGTTAGAAGAGAATCACATTTCAGTGATAACTGTTACTCATCTAACTATGAACGACAGTACTACAGCGCTAAAGTGAAACACTTACATGGCACAACAATTACAGGTAAGTTACAGTATAACAAAAGAACTTACGTAAACAATGAAAAAAAAAACAATCATCTCTATCCAAAACACAATTACTAAACGTACAATAATCCTAAAGGCATGGATAGAGTTATTACTTCTGCAGCGATGAAAAACGGAGTCATTCTGATCATGCAAACGGTTAAAGGAGACGACTACCAGAAAAGTATCATTACAGTTGGGCGGCAGAGGGAAGTCATTTAGCCCCACAATTGCGAAATGTTGTATGTAATCACCCACTTTCGTTACTTACGAAGCAAACAATTGAGCATTGTTTGTAGTAACAAAAGGATGTAGGAAAGTTTGTCACCGATGGAATGTCGGTCTTTCTATACTTCCTTGATTTGGCGCATTTGTAGCGCCTTTCTTTTCATAAAGTTACTGGTGAGCCGCTGCTCTCCAATTCTATGCCATCAGTCAGGAGTGCCTTAATTTAAAGGCAGAGTCTACAGCCATGTAGAAGGCGTAGAGTGTAGTCTCTTGTTTCCTTCTTACAGAGTGATACTCATTTATCAACCTCTGAATGGAGAAGAGCAAATGACCCTGACTTAAGCTTGGACTCACAATCTGTCGGTTCTGAGTTCGACGCTTTATCGACTGCGCAACCCTGGTCTAAAACAATGAGCGATAAATTCTGTGCTCGAGGGAATTCGTGAACAAGACAAAGAGTGCTCTCTATCGGAATCGAATTCGGTCCCTCCGGAGATCAAAGCCGACGTCTTAGACAAAAACAAAAAGTCGAACATGATAAGTTCGTAAATCGACGGAAAGGCATATTCATCATCGGTCGATATTTTTGCCCTTTGAAACTGAGATCTGCAGTTCATCTGAGCAGGGAAGAACCGAAATGACACAAACCGCGGACTCTATATTCTGAAACGAACACAATAACAAAAATTAATGAACGATGAAACAAACAGCAGGCGATCGTCGTTGTGAGTGGGAAACTAATTTCCTAATTTTAACTTCAACGTTTGATGCGTTGAGAAGAATGTTTAAAAATGACTACTCACATGCTCGTGGTGTAATAAATAATTAGTTAATTCAAACCGAAATATTTTATTAATATACGCAGAGTAAAAGAGGGAGATACAGATCACCCTGACTCGATGTAGCAGTTCTAATCAGATAACGTGATTTGATTCAACTCTTGACGAATCAAACAGTTCTAACTCACGAGAGCAGATGATTCATCTGACGGAGTCGCACTGTGAAATCAATGAACCTAGTGTTTCGCTATTAGCTCTTCATGGTTTCTTCGTTCCATCCAAGTTCACATGTCGTATTTCGCCAGATGGAAAACCTCAAAATCGGTAAAGGCAACGGTACACCCCTCGCAAGACTGAATTTCTTGTTCCACGTTTGCATCACCAAGCCAGATACGCGTGGCTAGTGCTTGTAAACGGTCGCAAAACTAATTTACATGCTCTAAGTCGAAAGAATCATATGTGTACCATAGGAATATCGGGATTGGGAGGGACAAGACAC